TTCAATGTTGATTCAGGTGAAAACTTTTACTACTTCTGGCATATTTTCGCTCTTGCCATTTGTTAACTATTTATTGAAAGGTTTTCTGTATGAAAGGGGCGGGCGCGACCTAAGGGCGACATTTGGCACTTGGACAATGTCTGAGCATTTTTGAAATTTTTATGAGGCTTACGTAAAGTAAATCGAGACTTGAACCGAAACTGAGCCGCGAGCTTGGGCATAAACTTGACCAGAGCCGAGCTGAGCTGAGCTGAGCCGAACAGAAATTGTTGTGCAATTTATCTTTATTTAATTGAACTTTTACTTTCGTCTCGTTGTTGTTGTTGTTGCCTGTCGTGAACGCGTTTCATAAATTGCAAATAATTTTTCAGCCAAAATCAACTTGTAAAGTGGAAATAAAAGAAGACAAAAATCAAAAATAAAGACCAGAGTATCAGACATGGGTTCGACATCAGCTTTTGGATCATAAATGCACACATACATATATGTATGCATAAATGTATGTGTGTGTGTGTGTGTGTGTGTATGTTTGTGTGTAAGGTATGCTAATCCGGTAAATCAATTGATGTGCGCCGCGGGCGCTTATAAAAATCGATATAAATTATTAATTCAAAACAATGCAAAGCAAATCAAGAGAAAAAAAAAACTGAAAGAGGGGAAAAAAATGTTAAAAAGCCGGCTTCAAAAAGCGGCAAAGAAAAGTTTCATAAAAGTGTCAAGCAGAAAGAAAACGTTGTGTGTACGATGTGCACGACTAGTAGATACCCTAAGCTCAGCTTCCAGCTGCCTTCTATACATACACAAACAACACACACACACACACACACACGCACTTCTTCTTTGTGCTTCTTCTTCTTCTCTTAGCCACACACTTTATATAAGAAATGGAGTCTTGCCTAACTTCGGTTCATATAGTTCAATCTTTATGAAATTTTCTAGATCTAAAAATGGCAAAAAAAATGTGTATATATACCAAAAACCAAGGCAAATGAGTTTTTTGTTTCCTTTTTCCTGGGAAAATGGGGAGAGTTATCCAAATAATGCTTAAATGCTTAACATCTGCGCATGCTAGGCTTAAGCAAATATGCTTAAAAGACAAAGTTACCGATTCTCGATTCTTATATCAAGAATATATTTATGCTCTATGGATAAGGAATTGCTTCTTTCTGCAGATTACACACAACATTAAACGCCTTCTAGACGTTTTCGATGGATTCGTAGCATGGTTAACAAAACAAGCTCTTTGTTGTGTATCAGCTTATAATATGCTCTGTCCATTTAATTGACTTAACGAGTCGCATTTTTTTTTTATCAATTGGCCTTTAATTGAAAGAAACTGGACACAAACTGATTATGAGATCATTTTCATACTTAAATGAGATACTTGTTGAGATTAAAGACGCACTTTGATGAAAAGTGACATTCAAGTTTGTGTTCCAAGTCTTTTGTTTGCCTTTGTTGATTTTTTTTTTTTTTTTTTGGGCTAGGCAAAATCTTGGTTAATATTTATAATGGTAGCCTATTATTAGATATAAGCTCATTAAATACCTTAAAGCTACATTCTCTAAATGAGTCAACAAATTGCTTGCTATGAGGATAAATAGCTGGAATATATGCAAAGAACTTGAAGTTTTTAATAAAAGATTAGGGATTTTTTAAAAGCTCAAGTACGAAATATCATGAAATGAAGCTGGAAGCACTTTTCTATAAGCTGTAGCTAGATGAAGGAGTATTCTAGATCTTTTTATATTGGAGAGAAATAGCCAGATAGATAGCATTATTTACTCTCAAAAAGTATATTGGTTAATCAAACTTCCTTTAAGAGAGCATTCATAAACAAAGTGCAGCTAATGATGCCCTGGGAAATGCGTAATGCGCCCATGAGAGAATTGAACTCTTTGAAGTTGGACTTTTACTACAGGATGCAGTTTCCACAGGGTTCAAGGCTCAGGAATTTCGGGTCAGAGTTTGAAAGCTCAACAAATGACTGGCTGATTGCTGTCAGCTTCTAGACACGAATTAAAGCTCGCTTGTTGTGCGAACTTCCCAGAAGGGGAGCGAAGAGAGAAGCGAGTAAAGAGAAGTGCAGAGGAGCAGAAGAGGGCGACAAAGAGGAGCAGAGAAAGATAAAATGGGGAAGGTGCAATAACAATACGCTTTCATTAACTGAAGCCACGTGCTTGTGTTATCGGCCTTTTAGGCCGCTTTCTGTCGCATTTTCGGAATACCCTAGCTCTTTTGAATATGCCTGAAAACGGGTATATTGCAGTTGTGCAAATGTCTGTAACAGGCAGAAAGAGTTATTGTCATGTCAGATAAGCTGAACGCAACGAAGGCTAAGAACTAGAGAGTTGAGACTTTAATGCCGATTATTTCTATATAAGAAATATATATAAGAAAAGAAATGTGCATAAAACATTTCGTATATATCTAAATGGGTCATGTGTGAAATATGACCTAAACTTTTTGCAGGGTATCTGCTCGTCGCACACACCCACGCACAGAGAGAGCGACATATTTCAAGTTCAGTGCATATTGAGCTGAAGCTGAAGCTGAAGCTGAAGTTGAAGTGCTTGCGCCCTCAGCTACAGCTTCCAAATTCAACTCGAGCTGCCACCTGCAGCAATTTCAAGGTGTCAATAAAGCTGATGATGATGATTATGATTACGATGACGATAATGATGTTGCTGCTGATGATGATGATTGTGATCGCGCTGATTATGAAGCTGGCGGCAGCTGTAGAAAGCCAAAGCCGTCAAGTGTCTTGACCCTCATTAATTCAAGTAAGCCGCAAGTCGAATTCGCAAAAAAAAAACGTCTTACAAAAAGAAGAAGAAGGAGGAGGAAAAAAACGGTTTCAGTTTCAGTTGGAAGTTGGCTTGGTCAGCGGGGGAAATAATAAAACTAAAAAAAAACAGTTTTCTTGGCCCCGATCCGCAATTAACATACGTAATTTATTTAAATTCAATTTTTTGATTTCATTTGCCTTTTTGGCTTCTTGGCGGCCGTGTTTTCACTTTCGTTCGGCATCCGAAAATTCCAAGCATCCGGCCAAAAGTGTTGCCAACCAGTTTACAGCGATCTCTCGGACCGCAGGCCCGGCCAGGCCCGGCGAGGCCTGACTGACTGCCCGCTTACCACGATTATTGTGATTATTGGCCCGGCTAAGAGGCGGCGGCGGCGGCAGCGCGAAACCTCAAAACACAAACAAATACACACACACACACATACATACAAATTGAAAACGAAAGTGAAAATGTTTTAAAAGGCGCTGGCGACAAAAATTTCAAGCAAAAGAAAAGGCCAAGCAAAGACAAGTAAGCGAGTGGTCTAGTCGGGCGTGCCCGACTAGGAGATAGCCTCAGGCCTGCATCGAGCTGTCGTTCTACATACACATGCACAAGAGCACACATACACACGCCTGCGCGCTTCTTCTTCTTCTTCTTCTCTCAGCACTACACTTTTGGTAACTGCATTCCTGAATCACTTCGGTGTTTACAATCCGATCTTAATGGACCCGACAGTTTTTCAATATTACACCCAAGTGTGTGTGCATGCCAAAGCAGAAGGCACTGGCTTCTTCGAGAACCAAGTCTCGAGATCGATATTTATCGATAAATTGTCAGCAAAAGTATACAAATAAGAAAATATGATGAGTAGAATATATATATTATTCAATTCTGAAGACTTTTAGCGTTTGTAGTCCTGGCTTAGCTCAGCTCGACTTTATGGTTACACAGATGCAACTTTTTGTCTGCTGCGAAGTCTCAAAATCGATATTTATCGATAATTTGAAGGTGGCATATATATAAATCTCAAGACTTTTAGCCTTTATAGTCATGGCACAGCTGCATGACTTCTGCCTCTGACACACATTTGCACATAACACCCATAACACCCACATTTTACACATTTCCAATGGATACAGGGTATTGAGAAAAACGAAAAAAAGAAACATACCCACACACAAACAAAAACAAAGCAGAAGATTGGATAGATCGTGCTGGCCACACGCTCAAAATGCTGTAAATTAAGTTGGCGATTTGTTGTTAGGTGAAATCTCGCGTCTTCAACTGTTGCTGCTGCTGCTGCTTCTTCTGCTCTTCACTTCCATTCTCCATTGCCATTTTCATGTGCAGCCTCTGTCCGTCGTAGAAAACTGCAGACCCACCTGCTGACGTCCAACTTTTACCCATTTACTATTTTGGCCAATTTCGGCATTTGAAGGCCAGCAGGTTAGCTGAATTGACCCCACACAGTTGACTACAGGAGGCGCGCGGGGGATGTTGCTGGTGGAGCGTGGAGCGAGAGGGCGAGGGGTTGTGGTGCAAGATATTGGCATTCCAATCAATCACGATATTTTGTGTTGTGTGTCTCTTATTTTTTTTTTACAGCGCATAAAACTCTGATTGGGCGAATGGCAACTGGGCAAATGCTTCGAGCTACCATATTTGGTAATATCTTCAACTACATTTTTAATCCTACACAACGGCCAGCGCCGAATCCTAATTTTATGGTAACAGCTGCAACAAGAGAGCATAGTTGCCTTTATACAAAGTCGAACATTAAATACCCTTGCCGTGACAGGCTATGACAGGCTATGATTGCCAGCGCTTTTCTATCTATGGAAAAGGTTTTCTTCAGATATCGAAAGCCTATAAAAACTACAGTTTGGTGAAAATATCTCGAGAAGCTCAAAAGTTGTTCATGCAAAAACTGAAATATCGACCGCCTGCTTCTATAGGAACTATATGATATAGTGATTTGATCTGACCACATTCCAAAATATGTGTAACTTAGCGCCAAATGCAGCATCAACATAAAGTTACACGAAGTTAGCTGCACGGGGATATCAGGTCATAAAGCACAGCTGATCATATTGAGCTCTTCATATAATGTCACTTAATTGAAATGCCCTTGGAAAGGGTATAGTATAAATATGTGTGTGTTTTTTATGTATCCAAGCAAGCTGTGACACGAATTCAACATTTGAGAAACCTGGCCCTGATTTCGAGGAACAGAACACATTCAATATTAAACACTTGATACAACCAAACGGTGCGTGTGCTTCAAAAAATTAAATTTCGAAAAAAGAGAAAATTAAAAAGAAAAAACAAATGTTTAAAAAAAACAAGTTGTCTTATTATTTTACTTTTAGCAATAATATAAGAATAAAAGAAATTAAATGAAACAGAATTAAAATCAACTATTTTCAAATGAAACAAAAAATTCAAAATATAAGATAAAAAATAAATAAAATTGTGAAATATTTACTCATAATAACAATAAAATAAGTAAAAACAATTAAAAAAAAAAACTAGTTAAACATTTTTAAACAAATTGTTTAAGAAATGCAACAAAATTTAAATAAATACTTTAGATTAATAATAATCACAAAAAATAAAAACAAACTAAGACAACAAAATTTTAAAACATTTAAAAAAAATAAATAAAATGAAACCACAAAAAAAACTAGAATTTTTAAGAGAATAACAAAATGCTTTTATAAATAATTAATAATTAAAACTAAATAAAATAAAATAAAACGAATGAAATAAAAAAAAAGCAATAAAAGATTTGCATAAAAGAAATGTTTTTAAGTTATTTCATCAAATAAGAATTTCAACAAAAAATTTAATTTTCGATATGATACCTAAAATACCGTTTCTTCTATTTCCCTATTTAATGTCCTTTATTTAATTCCTTGCAGGAAACTTGAAAACGAACAAAATCAAGCTAAGATTAGATGCGTACCACAAAGAAAGCCCGTGTTTCGGTGGGCGGCACACGCAAATACTATGCCAAACGCCGTCGCGACAGTCAAATATGCCGATTTCGAAGCCCGAAAAAGAAATTCAATCGGGATTTGAAGAGCCTGATCTACAAATATAAGCGTACGGTGAGGCAAAAGGGGCCACACAGCCGGGCGGAAATCGCCATCTTCAAGTATACCATGATAAGCGATCATATGCGAAAGGATCAGGTGATGCCCCTGGGCAAGAAACGCAACATCAAACGGAGCCAGGCAAACATGCTGAAGAGTTTGCTGAAGAAATCTGTGAAGCGCGCCAAGACGAGCCAAACACGGGCCGGGCTCTTCGAGGAGGAGGAGGTGGAGGTGGAGGTGGAGGAGGCGGAGGAGGATGAAACCCCAAGTGAGCTGAGCCAAAAATAGGCTTAGGTACTTTTGGATTATGTACTTTCAGCCCTTGAGATGCAACATTTTATTCCAAATTAAAGTTGAGGCTCCTAAAAGAAATCGCAATCATGTCTGAAATTATTTCCTGTTAGAGCATACAAGTGTCGGCTTCAGGCAGTTGCAGAAGTGAGAGATTGCAACAGATGGAAGAAGCCACTTTTTATGTTGATCTTCCAGCAATGCGGAGAGTTCCATGCTCCATGCTGGCTGGCATTTAAATCTTAGTTTGGCATCTAGTCAGATTTGGCATCAATTGGAATTTATATTTTATAGCATATATAGAAACCTCCATCTAGCTGTCTAGAGTATAGTATGTTGGCTTTCGTTTACTATAGAAAGATTAGGAATATTTTACATTTTGCACACTTGCTGCAATACCCTAAGATAGCACAAGATCTAATTGTTAAAGGCAGAGCCTTGCTATGACACTATTCTCTGCCATATTCAAGACCAGGAAAACATCAAAAAGATCGGACTATAAGCTCCGAAGTTAATCGGGAATGCATTTCTCATGCATAGACTGGAGCAGGCAGCTAGAAGGTAGTTCGGCTTGAGGGTATCTCCTAGTCGGGCACTCTCCACTAGCTTTATATCTTATTGAATTTAGAGACTGAATGATTGGAATAAATGCAAAATTAAGTTTTCGAGTAACGTCTACAGCTTCCACAGTTTAAGAGCTAGACTAGAGAAAACTTGGATGGAAGACAATCTTTCTGGGTCCAAATTCATGTCAAAATGTTGCCCTCAAACATCCGATATAGACATAGGTCAAAATTTCCCACTTCCATAACTCGGTCAAATCTTATCCGATTTTCCCGACGTTTGGCTTTTTCTTCATAGTTTTCCCTGTAGATTAATCTGGCATTCAAAATCTCGACACCGATTTTTTAGTCGAAATTCATGTCCAAATCTTACTCCAAGATTCGTATATAGACATGGGTCACAAATTACCACCCCCATATCTCGGTCAAATCTCATCCGATTTTCATGAAGTTTGGATTTTTCTTCATGGTTTTCCCTCTAGATTAATCTGGCATTCAAATCCGAACACCGATTTTTTAGTCAAAATTCATGTCCAAATCATACCCCAAGATTCGTATATAGACATGGGTCAAAAATTACCACCCCATATCTCGGTCAAATCTTATCCGATTTTCATGAAGTTTGGATTTTTCTTCATGGTTTTCCCTGTAGATTAATCTGGCATTCAAATCTCGACGCCGATTTTTTAGTCGAAATTCATGTCCAAATCTTACCCCAAGATTCGTATATAGACATGGGTCAAAAATTACCACCCCCATAACTCGGTCAAATCTCATCCGATTTTCACGAAGTTTGGCTTCTTCTTCATGGTTTTCCCTCTAGATTAATCTGGCATTCAAATCCGAACACCGATTTTTTAGTCAAAATTCATGTCCAAATCATACCCCAAGATTCGTATATAGACATGGGTCAAAAATTACCACCCCCATATCTCGGTCAAATCTTATCCGATTTTCATGAAGTTTGGATTTTTCTTCATGGTTTTCCCTCTAGATTAATCTGGCATTCAAATATGAACAGCGATTTTTTAGTCGAAATTCATGTCCAAATCATACCCCAAGATTCGTATATAGACATGGGTCAAAAATTACCACCCCCATATCTCGGTCAAATCTTATCCGATTTTCATGAAGTTTGGATTTTTCTTCATGGTTTTCCCTGTAGATTAATCTGGCATTCAAATCTCGACGCCGATTTTTTAGTCGAAATTCATGTCCAAATCTTACCCCAAGATTCGTATATAGACATGGGTCAAAAATTACCACCCCCATAACTCGGTCAAATCTCATCCGATTTTCACGAAGTTTGGCGTTTTCTTCATGGTTTTCCCTGTAGATTAATCTGGCATTCAAATCTCGACGCCGATTTTTTAGTCGAAATTCATGTCCAAATCTTACCCCAAGATTCGTATGTAGACATGGGTCAAAAATTACTACCCCCATAACTCGGTCAAATCTCATCCGATTTTCACGAAGTTTGGCGTTTTCTTCATGGTTTTCCCTGTAGATTAATCTGGCATTCAAATCTCGACACCGATTTTTTAGTCGAAATTCATGTCCAAATCATACCCCAAGATTCGTATATAGACATGGGTCAAAAATTACCACCCCCATAACTCGGTCAAATCTCATCCGATTTTCACGAAGTTTGGCTTTTTCTTCATGGTTTTCCCTCTAGATTAATCTGGCATTCAAATCCGAACACCGATTTTTTAGTCGAAATTCATGTCCAAATCATACCCCAAGATTCGTATATAGACATGGGTCAAAATTTACCAACCCCATATCTCGGTCAAATCTCATCCGATTTTCACGAAGTTTGGCGTTTTCTTCATGGCTTTCCCTGTAGATTAATCTGGCATTCAAATCTCGACGCCGATTTTTTAGTCGAAATTCATGTCCAAATCTTACCCCCAGATTCGTATGTAGACATGGGTCAAAAACTACCACCCCCATAACTCGGTCAAATCTCATCCGATTTTCACGAAGTTTGGCGTTTTCTTCATGGTTTTCCCTGTAGATTAATCTGGCATTCAAATCTCGACGCCGATTTTTTAGTCGAAATTCATGTCCAAATCTTACCCCAAGATTCGTATGTAGACATGGGTCAAAAATTACCACCCCCATAACTCGGTCAAATCTCATCCGATTTTCACGAAGTTTGGCTTTTTCTTCATGGTTTTCCCTCTAGATTAATCTGGCATTCAAATCTGAACACCGATTTTTTAGTCAAAATTCATGTCCAAATCTTACCCCAAGATTCGTATATAGACATGTGTCAAAATTTACCACCCCCATAACTCGGTCAAATCTCATCCGATTTTCATAAGGTTTTGGCTCATTCTCATGGTTTTCCCTCTAGATTAAATTGGCATCTAAGCCTGACAACATTTTTCTGGGTCCAAATTCATGTCAAAATGTTGCCCTCAAATATCCCATATAAACATAGGTCAAAATTTCCCACTTCCATAACTCGGTCAAATCTTATTCGATTTTCACGACGTTTGGCTTTTTCTTCATGGTTTTCCCTGTAGATTAATCTGGCATTCAAATCTCGACACCGATTTTTTAGTCGAAATTCATGTCCAAATCTTACCCCAAGATTCGTATATAGACATGGGTCAAAAATTACCACCCCCATAGCTCGGTCAAATCTCATCCGATTTTCACGAAGTTTGGCTTTTTCTTCATGGTTTTCCCTCTAGATTAATCTGGCATTCAAATCTGAACACCGATTTTTTAGTCAAAATTCATGTCCAAATCTTACCCCAAGATTCGTATATAGACATGGGTCAAAAATTACCACCCCCATAACTCGGTCAAATCTCATCCGATTTTCATAAGGTTTTGGCTCATTCTCATGGTTTTCCCTCTAGATCAAATTGGCATCTAAACCTGACAACATTTTTCTGGGTCCAAATTCATGTCAAAATGTTGCCGTCAAATATCCCATATAAACATAGGTCGAAATTTCCCACTTCCATAACTCGGTTAAATCTCATCCGATTTTCATAAGGTTTTGGGTTTTCTTCAAGGTTTTGCTACTAGATCAAATTGGCATCTAAACCTGACAACATTTTTCTGGGTCCAAATTCATGTCAAAATGTTGCCCTCAAATATCATAAATAGACATAGGTCAAAACTTCTAACAAATTTCTAATTTCTGGCTAAACAATCTAACGATTTGATCGGTATAAAAATATAAAAAGTTTCATAAAGTTAGTTTCATTTAGTGCTTTATTATCTTTTTACCACACACTCGTTATCTAAATGCAAACTTAAACTAAACCGTTTTCGAGCATATCGAAACATAAACTAACTAAATTCACAAGAACTTTGTGATGGTCGCCTTATTTAATTGCCTGACACTGAGCTGATGGGCTCAAGAACAAGAGTAGTACGACAGGAAAGTCACGGCAGCCGCTTATCAACAGTTGTGCAAATAAAAAACAGACCAAAACAAAACAAACTAAAAACCAAAGAAAAAAACAATTCACAAAAAAAGTTACAAAAGTATCTGTTATCAAATGTTGTGTAGACTTTCACTTCAGCTGTTGTCGTGGTGAATATGGCTTTGGTTAAATATTTTGCTACAATTTCAATAAATTGTTAGACATAAAACGGACAGCCCGCATGTATAACGGGCGAGTATTCAAGCTCAGCTAGAAAATACCCTGTAATATGTAGATAACTCTGCATAAAGGGTTAATGTGTTTCTAGTCTACTTAGAGAAATATAGAGAAACTCTAGGAGCTCTAGTTCCCAATTTAATGTAGTTCCTATAAAGTGAAATATCATATATAAACCCACTAAATCTTGAGAATTGTAAGTTTACAATGCATTTCCTGCTATGCGCTGATGCATTATAGCAAAAATTCGCCCACATACCAAATTTGATAGCTTCAGCTCTTATAGTTCTCGAGCTATTATAATATTATATCAGGAACCTATATCTATAATCTATCTATAATTGTGCTTGCAGCAGACTGTAACGATTTGTGAAGAGACTTTGAGCAAAGAGGTAACATTATATCAAATTGGGTGTCTGTAGCTCTTACAGTTCCTGAGTTCAATGAGGTCACATAGGTGTGTTGCTCAAATTGTGAGTTTACAATGCATTTCTTGCTATGCGCTGATAGGCTAGAGTAAAAAGACGTACACATATCAAATTTGATAGCTCCGGCTCTTGGAGTTCTCGAGCTAATTTAACATTTCTTATTGGGGCCTAGATTTAACTACTGATGCAGACATTAAGAGCAAAAAAGCTGTATACCAAAAAAGATCTGCCTAGCTCTTATAGTTCCCGAGTTCAACGATCTATCTTGAATATAATCTTAAAGCTGAACGCTTTGTATCAAATATGCTATCGCAAGCGCTTCTAGTTTCTGCTATTAGATATTACAGGGTATCTGGATTGAATAGCACACGGGCGGCAGTCATCTCGCGTAGGTGGTCCGCATGTTTGTTTTGAACGGGCTGCGG